CACAGCTCAGCTGCAGAGCGTGTGTGGAGTTCTGATCCGCAGTTTCGTAACTCCATAAGGGGTACGGCCGGAGATGAACGAAGTGTGACTCACTGGTGATTTGGAACTTGAATTTATATGTTGGAGTTGTAATTGTAAGTTTGAGTTTAATTATCTTTAATTCTCTTTAATTATCTGTTTTCCGCACATCAAGAGCATCTCCAGGGGAGCTCGTTCCCCACCATGGGACAGAGAGAAGGTGTTGGGACCGGGCAGTGAAGGAAGCCACAGTGTGAAGGCTTTTGCCTCACCTTTCTGCAGAAGCTGGAAGAGATTCAGAAAATGGTGCAAGGTGACGGCAGGAGTGGAGAGGACCGAGGCCGTTGGACACTGCTCAGCTCTGCCGCTGCCTTCTCCTGAGCAAGTCAGCCAACAGATGCTGTCGCTTCCATGCCCTCAGCTCGTCCTGTCCCCTTTCCAGGGGTGACACAAGTTGGTCAGAGCCGTGGAGGGTTTCCAGAGGAGGTTTAGCATCAACATGCCCCGCACACCAGTGTTGAAATCCCGGGGCAGCCGATACAGCCCCACTCCTGGCCCAGCAGCGCGTAGGTGTGGGTCACCCGCAGCCATTTTGGAGCGCTCGGCCAAACCCAGCCAGGCACAGGGAGGTGGCCGCGGGGGCCTGGAGCCCTCACCGGGGCTGATTTGAGACCTGGGCGGCTTCACTTGCCGGTGCCTGAACGACTCGGGGCCAGCCCTGGAAACAACCGCCGCCTCTCGGGGCACTGCCCCGCTCCTCAGCGCCCACCGCCCCCAGCTTCCCCTCAGGGTTTTCCCGCCGCCGCTGCCCACCCTCCCCGCTCCTTCCCGCTCCTCCCGCCCCACAGGGCCCCTCCTCCCGCCGCCATGTTCCGGGGCCGCCGCGCCTGGTTTTCGCAGAGTGTCAGCCCGGGCCCGCGGGAGCTGTGGGGTGAGGGGGTGCGGACGGCGTCCCGGGGATGAGCCACAGGGGCACGGAGCTGGCATAGGCCCTCGGTGGGGTTCAGCTGCGGGGGTACGGCCCCGTCAGCCCTCAGTGGGGCAGGGCAATGGTGGCACAGTCCTGTCGGCCCTCAGTGGGGCAGAGCAGTGGGGGCACAGCCCTGTCACCCCTCAGTGGGGCAGGGCAGTGGGGGCATGGCCCTGTCACCCCTCAGTGGGACAGAGCAATGGCAGCGCAGCCCCGTCAGCCCTCAGTGGGGCAGGGCAATGGTGGCACAGTCCTGTCGGCCCTCAGTGGGGCAGAGCAATGGTGGCACGGCCCTGTCACCCCTCAGTGGGCAGAGCAATGGTGGCACGGCCCTGTCACCCCTCAGTGGGGCAGCACAGAGCTGAGCCCCCCCATGGCAGTGGGGCAGAGCATGGGTTTGGCAGGTGCCCCTGAGTTCCAGGGCAGGCCACGGTGCCCCCCACGCTTACGAAAAGTCCAGAAGAGTCCTCAATGGGGCGATGGGAGACCCAGAGACATGGGAGGCCCATTACAGCTCCCACTTTGGGGCCTGGCCCTGCAGCCCCACAACCAGCCTGGGCAGCTCTCCCCATCCCGGCCCACCCTGAGGTGGGCACCCATTGGGGTGTCCGTCTTCCTCCTCACCCCCCCTCTTCCTTCCGCAGTGGCCGGTGGCGGGGTGGTCACCCACTGGCGGGACGCTGACTACCTCTTCAGCAGCGACGCTGCCCACCCGGACACCCGCAGGTGGGCTGTGCTGTGTCCCCCAGCTGTCTCTTCTATGTGTCACCCCCCCTGTTGGCAGCACTCTCCTTGCTTGGGAGTTGCCTGCAGCCCTGTTTCACGCTCAAGTTGAGCCCCCTCCCTCCACATGATGTCTGTAGAGAGTGAAAGATCAATAAAGGCGTAGATAACGGGTTTAATGTATTTAATGCAAAGTATTTAATGGATGCCGACATCCTTTAAAAGTCAGGGTGGTATTTTTGAAGTGCCCGGTAGAGGTCTGCTGGGGTTTTAGTGCTTAGCAGGGTCTGAAAACTCACACCCACGCTAAACCGTAGCTAGACAAAACAGAAGACGGCTGCAAAAACCATCTACATGGCTTAACTCTGACGTAAATTAAAATAATTGTGCTGGTTTTCTTTCTACATTTGATCTAGTGGAAAACTTAGGGTCTAAAATAGAGGCAACGTCATCCCAAGGAAGGAAACAGGTGCTAAAAAGCCAGAGCAAGTTAATGCTGAAAGCAAGCGTGGCCGTAAAAATGGCTGGAAAAGGGCTGAATTGCTATTTTCCTTCTGCTTGCTTAGTATAAAAAATCAGAGAGCTCAAGAACAAATATGAGCGAAGGCTATTCAGGGTCTTCCTCCCGCTAGTGAATATTTATATATATTCAGTATCATGTTAATATATTTATATGCAAAGGAACTGCAATGCTTTCTTGCAATGCTCTGCAGCAGGCTTTCCTAGGCTGGACTAAGCAGCTTCTTTTAACACAATTGCTTAAAACTGGCTTAGGTTTTTGTAATCCTGCAGCCACCTGCTCCAGCTGTGGGAGGGGAATCCCGAGAAACCCAAGAGTAATGACCTTTCTTCCACCACAGCATCCTGCCAGATTGGGTTGTTCCCCCAGGGGGAAATACATGTAATTATATATATATATAATATATACATATATATATATATTCAGTGTATATATTCAGATTAATTCTTGGGAAAAATTTAATCATTATCCATACCCTTAAACCTGGCAAACTATTTAATTCCCCTCTAGGGAGGATGATGAGTGCTTGAGCACCCTCCACCCACCCTTTCTTGCTTAGCTGTAGTGCCGCTGCTGTTTGGGGACCGCACCGTGAGCCTGAGCAGGGACCAGTGAGGTTAAGAATAAATAAATAAAAATCACATTTTCCCCCTCCCTGAAGAACTAGTCTCATCTCGAGAGCAGAGTGTGGAGGCAGTGCCATTTAGTCCTTAAAAATATGAGTTTACCTGGTCCCTGATGTCCTTCCTCAGGTGGTGCTGGCAGCTGGGACCATAACGGGATGTTGCTGGTGGAATCTCATAGTTAGAAAATTACAGAAAATTAGGTGCTTTTGGCAAAAATATCAGAGCAGGTAGTTTTAATGACAATATCCCTCTAAACTTTTTGTTTTGATTTTTTTTTCAGGTTAACCTTTGGAAACCAGCTGCCTTTTTCTCTTGCAGAATACATGAGAGCCTCGATTACTTGGAGGGCAGAGCTGCAGTCTTTCACTCCCGTTACCTCTCTGCATGGGCGAGCACCGACGTGGGAGCGAAGCTGTCTGTGGTTCTGGGCCACTTTGTCCTGCCACCTGCTTGCCTGCAAGAAGGTCAGGAGAAAAAAAAAAAACATCAGGGTTTTGCTCCCTTGGGGATCTCTCCCATGAGCGCAGCCTTTTAGGGGTGCAAACCAGAACCTCCAGTTACTTCTGCTCTAGGCAGAGGGCATTTCCTTCTGCTGGGAGCAATTCTTCCTCCGTGGAGGCAGAGGATGCTCCATCTATTATATTCTCCATCTATTATCATAGAATCATAGAATGGTTTGGGTTGGAAGGGACCTTAAAGCTCATCTAGTTCCAACTCCCCGGCTATGGGCAGGGACACCTTCCACTAGACCAGGTTGCTCAACACCCCGTCCAACCTGGCGTTGAACACTTCCAGGGATGGGGCATCCACAACCTCTCTGGGCAACCTGTTCCAGTGCCTCATCACCCTCACAGTAAAGAATTTCTTCCTTACATCTAATCTAAATCTACCCTTTTTCAGTTTAAAACCGTTACCCCTTGTCCTATCACTACACTCCCTCATAAAGAGTCCTTCCCCATCGTTCCTGGAGGCCCCCTTTAAGTACTGGAAGGGTGCTATAAAGTCTCTCGGGAACCTTATCTTCTCCAGATGTTAAATAATACTGGTCCCAGTATGGATGCGAGGAACTTCACTGGTCTCTGCTTGGACATCGAGCCATTATATTGCATTAGCAAGCAGCACCATGCAGTGAGCTTCTGCCAGGGCTCTCGAGTGCCTTTGCTGGCACCCATGAGAGGCAGGGGCTTGCACAGGCAGTAACTGCCGCACAGTGTCATTATTTGATGCCTTCACAGTCATTTATTTTTTTGTTCATGGCAGAAATCAGAAGGAAAATTGGTAGTTTTATTTGGGAGCAGGCAGATGATTCACTTGCGGAACAGGTAAGATGAGAAATTTATACTACAGGAGGTGTAGCTTAAAAAAATACCGGTTGTATGAACTTCAGGGAGCCTGGTTTTTATCCCAGACCCTCAGCCCAAATACGGGATCAAATCTTCCTGTGCTTGCTGCGCTGTGTGTGTCCCCTCCCAGTGTGACATCCCAGGGGGACAGCACCGGATTGAACTCGGGACACGCAGGGGGGATTTTCTCCCTCACCCAGACAGATGTCAGGTGTCCCCAGCACATCCTTCCGGGGATACCGATCGCCAAGGTCTGAGCTCGGCCCTTCAATGTGGCATTTTCCTTCCCTGTGTATCTCCGAGACACTGCCGGCTCTCTTCTCAAACCAACTTCTCAGTACTTTTGAAGTGAAAATGTGATTAGATTTAAAATTGTATTCTGAATTACGCTTGAAATCACAAGTCCTAAAAATACCACTCTCTTGGACCACCTCTCTGGTGTTTTGCGGGGTACCCAGGACACAATTTTAACTCAGCTCTGTGTTGATACTCGCAGCCCAATGAAAAACTGACAGATGAACCGGAGGCAGTGAGAAAAGGCTGTGAGGAAGAAGCAGAGGAGGATGTGCTAGACCTGGCCAAAAGGTATTTTCCTGCCCTTGGTGGTAGGATTTGGGCCCCCCCCCCGGATTTCAAGAGATCCCCAATGCATAGGAAATAATGCACAGATTTTTTTCCCCCAATACAGCAGTGAAGAAGAAACAGGCTCCAGAGCACCGGCCAAGGGAGAATTTCCATACCATGCCCTCCAGGAATACCCGATGAATAACATGGTGACAGGTAACATTCGGCATCAGTAGATTTTTAAGGAGCGGAAAATACGCCTGAAAACGATTGTGGATGAAGCAGCCCCCCTCCCCCTGGCCCACCCCATGCTCCTCGCTTCCTCCCAGTCCTTACAGCTGCAGAAATGCTGAGGGCATGACTGGAATCACTCTGCGTTTTCCGTTGTCCTTGTTTTATTGGAGAAGGGGGCAGCTCCCCCAGTCAGACCCGTGCTTTCCCTTCGTAGGTTACACCTCTGCTTGCGACATGAAGAAATATGTCGGAGAGCTCTGTGATTTCATTCCTGGCACCTCAGGCTACGCGGTGTATTGGATTCAGAACGAAGTTAACATTTACTCTGATGTGAAGACTAAAACGAAGAGAAAATTTAAGTAAGAGGTGGCCGTTTGCATCAAAAACTTAAGAGCTGCCAGAGAGCGATCGGTCGTGTTTGGAAATTCAGTCCCATAGCTGAGATGCTGGAATGCCTCCTTGCTTGCTCTGTTCTGCAGACTGATGGTTATTTCACCTGTCAGTCTGTGTTCTCCCCATGTTTTACTTAAATAGTGAAGAGATTGGTGGTATCGAGCTGCAAATTCTGAGTTAAATCTCCGCAGGGCATTTATAAATTATCCCTGCGTGGCTTATCCTGACTGCAGCTCAGCGCATTCAGTGTATATTTAAATACCTGGCTACATTTACTGTAAACGTTTCCTTCTTTAAATAACTATTTAAAACAAATTTCACAGCAAAATATAGACATTTCTCCCCAAAACACAAATCCTTTGTCTTTTTATTTGTACCGGGGGTTTTAAGGTGTGGCTGCAAGCAGTTTTCCTCGGAGGCACACACTGATGTCTCCTTGCAGGGAGAAGTCACCCCATGCTCCGGCTGCATCCACCTGTGGAACACGCTCACCAGTGGGACCCAGTGCTGTGACAGGGCTGGCAAGACAGGCAGGGGCTGGCAAGACAGGCAGGGGCTGGCCTGGGATCCCAGACACACGGGATGCTCCGCAGGTTTGCAGAGGTTTTGAGCGCAGGGCCCCAGACTTCCCCTCAGCAAAACCTGTGTCATGCTGGAGCGGGTCACGCAAGACAGGGAGGGAAAACCCAGGGACCCTTGCCCGGCCGGGGGGCCCGGGCACCCTGCCTGCAAATCATGGCCCCAGATGATGCCAACGGCCAAGACAGAGACCTGTAGGTCTCCTCTGCCTCTAAGCAGAGCCTCTGTGTAGGTGGACAGGAGTTTCGGGGGGTGAACCCCAGAACACTTCCATGCCTGTCGGACCATGGGGAAATTGTTGGATGGAGCGTCTTGCTCGGGGAAGGATGGCACAAGCCTCACCAGGGTCCATCTCCACAGGGGAGCTTCCACTGCCAGACACAGTGCTCTGCTCAGCCCATTTCACTCCCCTCACACAAAGGAAACCAGTGCCAAGACTTTTTCCTTTCATTTAAGCACTTACAAGTGATCAACTTGGTTACAAAAAGCAACTTTTATTCTGGCACAGCATGACCCCCAAGTTGTCTGCTCGGAGGAGGCACAGGCAAACCCGGGAGGCGCCGAGGGCGCGGAGCTCCAGCAAACTCTGAGGAGCCACCATGGTCATCCTCTCCCACCGCCCTCAGAGTCAGAGAGCCTGTAAAACAGCTTTGCACCTCACACCCCGAACAGCCAGGAAAGAACCCAAAAAGATGACGGCAAACGTGAAGGTGTCGAGTCCTTGTCACCCTCTGAAGCCTCGGACACCTGCATTTGGGATGCGGCACCCCAAGGAACCATCCCTCCCTCCTCATCCCTGGGGACACAGGCTTCCAAAGACCAGGCAGGCCGAGATGGTTTCCTCACGTTTATTGGAAAAGTGACATACAGCGACCGACTCAGAGCGCTCCTCGGGGCGTTTTGAAGTTCATCCCCACCGTGGGCTGTGTCACCTGCAGGTTGGACAGGCTGCCAAAGTCCTGGAAAACAGCACATGATTGGGATCGGTCACAACGCCCTACCTGCCATCCACGCCCGGCAGATTCCTCCCGGGAGGAGAGGGAAGCACGAACATGCTCTGGTAACATGGAGAGTGGATTCACATCTCCAGAAAGGAGAGATGACCATCCCGCTCAAGAGATCAGCTCATCGGTGAGGGGAATCTGGTCTTTTTATGGCCGAACCCACATTCACCTCCACCCAACAAGCAGGCTCTTGGGTCAGCACCCTAGGGTGCTGCAGGAGGAGGGGAGGGCAAGGAGCACACCCACCCTGCTAGCGGGGTCCTGGGCAAAGCCACCATGCCTCTCCCCTCCCAAGTGCAGTACGGACCCCCGCCACGTGCCCAGAGCGCTGAAGCCTTCAGCCGACACCATCAAGCCCCTCAGGGCAGTGGGAGTGCTGCTGGGGACACGCCACCAGCCTGGTAGGGTTACCTGGGGTGGGGGGACAGCTGGGACCACTCACCAGGAGCTTCAGCATTTCCTTGGTGTCTGGGTCCACTTCAATGATCTCCTGGTCAAGGGCAGAGACCTGGGGATGGAGGAGAGAAAGACACAGTTTCACGAGGACCTGCAGCCACGTCCCTGCTGCCACCGGGCTGTCCTGACACACCCACTCCAGTCCCATCCCACGACAAACAAGATCCTGATGCCCATCGTGGGGAAGGGCTCCAGCAACAGAATCAGCCAGGAGGACCTCGGTGGTGTCCAGCTCTCCTGCCAGAACACTGTGAGAAGCCGCCTGGCAGTAGAGAGGCCCCCGCACAGGGAGAAGAGCCCGTTTTATGGCAAGTCTTTGGAAACCCAAGGCCTAACCAGCTCCAACGCCAAGGCTGCAGAGAGGAATTGGGGACGGCTCCACAACTGCACTGGTCCCAGTGGTCACCAACAACACTCACGCTTGTCCTGCGACCTGAGTCCCTAAGGCCGGAGCCCGACCACTGTGGTGCCAGACAGCAATGCCAACTGACCGCCTGGGCTCTCCCGCCCCAAGGACCGGAGATCTCCCACTCTTTAATCCCAGAGCAACCTCCTCCAAGCCTCTCCGGACCCCAGCCTTGATCTTCACATGCTTCCTTCCCTAAGACGCTACATCACACTGGTATTTTTGTAAGAAACCATAAAAACCACAGGTTCTGCTAACGCTGCATCAACAGCAACAGCACGGATGCTTCTTCCCTGGTTGGGGTCCCTCCAGGGGTGACCTCTCCTACCAGAGCCACCTCATCCTGGTTGCTCCAAGCTTCCGACACCAGCTGTGCAGGTCAGCATGTGCTGACACCTAAAATCTGGGGTGTCGAAGCATCTGTGAGAGGACCTGCATGAAGCTGCCAGTGTTTCACATGTCATTTCTAGCTGTCAGGAGTGAAGGAGCCGAACTGAGCCCTGGGCTCTTGCAGAGCCATGTCACCTCACCCTGGGCTATGAAACCAAGGCCGCAAAGCAGGGAGGGTACCCCCGAGGCAGATCTCCAAGTGGGGGGACAGCACAGCACCAGCTCACCTTACCACACCGCCGGGGCTCCCGTGACATCCTACCATCGTACCTGTTCCTCCCAGATCACCACTAAAACAACCTTCCATGTAACCAAACCCCAGCGTCGATGATTTGGGAGAACTGAGGTAACAGAACCGAGTGTTTTTGTGCAGCACAGAAACCAGCAGCTCTACCAGAAGCCGATCAGGGAGATCTGGAAGTGGGGCGAGACGCGTCCTGTCTGAAGGCTGCAGGGTTTGGGAGCGACAGGATTGAACCCACTGAACCCGGGAAACGCTTTCAGAGCTCCTCTCCCTGCACTACCAACAACCGGGTCACGGGTGAGACCTCGACTCCCTGTGAATGCAGGTTTAAGAAGAGAGCAGGTTTCACCAATTCCCTCTCTTCAGCGACATCTGCCACGCAGCAAGTTTTAAACCGCTCTGAAAAATCCTCCTGCATCCCATCGCGTTATTTTTTATATCGTTTTAAGTTAGGAAAATTGATCTGCTGACCAGCAGCACAGTTGAACTGCAACAAGTCAGCTGCCCTTCCCACCCCAGGCGGCAGTTTCGGAGAGAGTGCCCCGATACAAGGCCACAATTTGCCTCAGCCCTCCCTGACCCAACCCCTCCTCTGGTCCTCCTGGCTGAGGTTTTCTTTTAGAGAAATTTGGGGCCACCAATGGAGAAGACACCTCGAGGCAGGACGGGACAGAGGCCAAAGCAGGCACTCGAGCGCAGCCAGAGCCTCACCTCAGGGACGTAGTTGTCCCTCCTCTCCCTCTCCTCCTCCTGCAGTTTGATGGAGATACCTCGGACGGGTCCCCTCTGAATACGCTTCATCAGGTGGGTGACATACCTGCGGGGGACAGAGCACCGTTCAGGACTTCCCCACATCTCCCTTCTTCGCCCTCGCCCTCCCAAAATCACGCCAAGGCTGAGGAGATGGAGCCTCCACCGGCAACCACCCCGCCGGTGCCGTCCCACCGCCTCCGGAGAAGGTCAGGGATGTCCGAGAGCATCGGGGTTCGGGAAGGGGGGGACGGACCCCCCCCCAAACACGGGAAAGCTTTCGGCGTTCCTCTGCCTGCACTATCGATGACCGGGCCACGGGCGAGACCGCGATCACTTTCGAATGCAGGTACCACCAGGAGCTCCCACCCGTGTCCCGCGTCCCCACGCCCCCTCACCCCGCGATCTTGTTGCGCAGCTTCTTGCTGGGGATGATGGCGATCTCCTCGCACACGCGCTTGTTGGTGTGGAAGTCGTTCCCCAGGCGGGTGTAGTACTTCTCGATGATCACCCGGGCGGCCTTCTTCACCGTCTTCGTTCGGACGCGTCCCTGCGCGGGGTGGAGGCCAAGGAAACACCAGTCAGGCCCCGCCGGACCCCCGAGGCAACCCGGGCCCGGCCT